AGCCTAAATCTGGGTGACAGTCATCAGCTATCACATAAAGGAAGTAGGTGAGGTGTGTCTATGTTTTGTGGACTAGAATAAGCAAAGTGCCGCTGATCACAGGAAGACACATGAGGCTTTAAACAGAATACAAAGTACATATATGTGCAAAAGTCTTGACATCCTATGCCACAGATACTTGTTCAGCCATGTTCATTGCTGTTCTGGTTACAATAGGCAGAAAATGGAAACAACCTAACTTTTCTTCAGTAAGTGAATGGATGATGAAAAGGCGGCACATTTCACAGGGCAATACTCTTCAGCTGGAAAGGAACACGAAATCGTGGGATTTTTAGGTAAATGTTTGAACGCATCTAGATAAGATTATATTGAGTGAAGTAATCCAGACCTTGAAAGACAAATGTCACATGTACTCGCTCATCTGTGATCCCTTGCTCTAAATCTTCTGATGTGAATATACAAAATGGAGTGACTTCAGAAACCAGAAAAGTAGAAGGAAACCACTGGGGGTCATTATGAGAGGGGATTAGCGTGATGCCTTTGACAGAGAATGTAAAATGGAGAGGGAGCTCCAGCTGGAGAAAGGGAGGGAGGCCAATGAAGAAGAAGAAAGAGGGATGTGAGTTGTTCGATAAAGCCTCAAGGGAATATTATTTTGTATTTATGTAAAATTATACATAAAACATACAGTATGTATATGTGTGTGTTTATCATGCATGTATATATGTATCATCAAGGAAGATGCTGGCAATGCTCCCCATAATAACCATGTGCTTACAAAAACCCAGTAACAGGCACAAGAAACCTCCTTTCTTTGGTCAGGATCATTCAAGCGTCTCCCAGACCAATATAGACTATTATCGTTGCCTTTGATTGCCTCTCAGAGACTGAAGATAAACTCCCATTTCTGAAGACCCCCACATGCTAAAGGTCTAAGATTCATATTATTTAAGCTGGATCTAGCCTGAAATCTTCCTCCCTGCCTAGTTCCAAGGTACCAGAAAATACTATTCAAGATGATAAGGGAAGGAAGCAATCACTAATCCTACCCAACTGCAATACCTATGAACTCCAACAGAGACCACCATGACAATATAACCCTAAATTGCAATAAGTGTCCCTTACATATTGGCAATAAGAAACAGCTGTAGAGTGTACGGCTATACCACCCTGAACAGGCCCGATCTCATCTGGTCTCGGAAGCTATAGAATTTGACTTAACTCAACAGGAGGAAAATCATGCCCAGTACTAGAAACCTAGCCACCTTCCCAGGGGTAGTGAGGCCACAAATCTTAGAAGAGAAATCTACTACCACCATTTTGATAGACCAGCATAATTTTTGAACACATTCTGAGTCTGATCCTTACACCCAAGGATAATTGTAGCTACCACCCGTGATCAAAGAAGCCTGTCTTTTTGTTATGTTTTTGTTATAACATAACAAAAATCCACAACTAGATGCTATGCAGAGATAGCATTGTGAAGAGCACAGCCCCAGTGTATACATTTGCATCAGACGTGAGTATGCAATACGGAGCATTGCGTGTGCAAGCATACAATAGCTTGCACTACAGCTCAGGGAATATCATGGAAGAGGAGTAGAAAGGTTCTTAGGGCCAGAATAGCAGAAAGCCTTCTAGAAAAGGATGCATAAACAAGACCAGAACAAATGGCAATATCAATAGACATGCGAACAGGACCAGAAAAGGAGAAATTTCATGGGGCCCCACCTAGACAAAGAATTACAGGCAACTAGTGAGTATAGAAAGAGAAAGAATTAGTCTATCCCAGTGATGAGGCCAATACAAAGTGATTAGCCCTGAAAGCATATGCACACACATACACAGACAAGAAAAATGGACTCAGTGTGCTATATTCAGGTATACTTATATGTATGAATACTTGTACTTATACATACATACATACGTAACAACAATAATAAGAAAGAGTCTATCAAATTGAGAAAACAGGCACGGAAGGACTAGGAGCAGGGCACTTGAGAGAGAATAAAGGGGGGAAAAGGAAGGGGAAAACAACATAGTTATATTTTATTTTTAAAGATATAAAAATATAAGTAAATAAATAGCAATTTAAAGATAATGTACAAGAGACAATAATGTCTAAGACAGGGTGCTAGACTGGAGATAGGACATGCTAGGTGAAGACCCTTAAGGCAATATAATTAAATGAAAGGCTAAGTAAAGCTAAAAAACAGTGTATCATTCAGGCAGCACTCAGTATAGCACTAGATATTAGCTTAGTGGAATGACAATGTATTCCAGGGTCATTAACTTCTGTATCAAGGAGGATGGAGCCTATGCGGAAATGACTCTTCCCAGACCAGTGAATGAAGGGGGCTTAGCAGTGATCTGACCTCCCCACAGGTCAGCATTATAAAGGCTGGGGTGGGTGAAGAGCAGAAAAGGAACTGCCTCATCAGCATAGCTGCAGACCCGTGTTCCTTGACTCTTTCTCTTCTCATTTCTGAAGGCATTAAATTTTCCTGCCTACTTCTGGGATGGTATTTATTTCACTATGTGATGATAATTAAAAGAAAATAAAAAGGAAGTAAGCCAGAAGGGTGTAGACCTGTGTGATCATCTTGAAAGCAGACAGGCCAGTAAGTCTTCCACACCTGTCCAGGAGGTCTGGGTGGCCAATTCCAGATTGTTAGAAATCGCAGCCAGGGCTAGACTTGGGTAATTAGAAAATGAACTCACCATATTGCAAAAATCTTTGAAAAGAGCATTAATACTGGGATTCTGGCTCTAGTATAGATTAATTTTGTGACCTTGTATTAGTAATTTCTGGTTTTCAGCCTTGTTCTCTCATGTGCAAAAATGAAATAGCACTTCTAATATTTATTGAAGAAGACAAAGTGTTAAAACATATTAAACAAAGCTAAAAATTAAGTATCCTCCAAAATCTCGAATTTATCTATCTAATGATCAATCACTAATCAAATTCCTTAAGCTGGAAAATTATAGGAGTTAACACTGAAATCTTACCATAATGGTTGGTCTCTCCTTTGGACCATCACCTGCATGCTGAGACATTTGTCTTTGTTTTCAGAGTGTTAAGAAGAGAAAGATTAGGAGACTGTAGGAAAAAGGTGGAGTGGGGCCAGGATAGGTGTTTCTGTGTGTAGGAAAGAGGTGGGTGGGGCCAGGATAGGTGATTCTATCTGATGTTCAAGCAAACCCCTCCTCACTACCCAAAGGATGCTCTGCTCTAACTCCAGCAAAGGCGGTGATGTAGAGACTGCATTGCAAACAGCGACAAAGCTCTCCTGGGCAGACTTGGTCTGCAGTGACACAGGCAGATGCTAAACTTCAGCCTGTCTAGAAGTTAATTAGGTTACAAAGGCTGCCAAAAATCCCAAAGTCATTCAAAGAAAATTCAGCACCGGAGCAAGATCTGAAGCAAAGGTCAGAAGATACAAACAGTAATCTTCATTCTAAGAACAGGGACATAAACATGGGGAGGGGGAGCTGTGCAGGTGAAAATCTGTAGGCTTCTTATCCGTGTTTTATAACAGCTGAAAGATGAAGCATACTGTAGTTCTGGCTGCTTTCCTACAATAGCTATGTCTAAACAAGGGCTGAAGCAGAGGCCAACACTGTGTGTTCATTACCTGTCCAGAATTCTCAGTACATAACCAAGGGACACGGAGGGTGAGAATCCCTGGATGGATGCGGCTCCCAATTGAGTATCTTCCCACTTGGAAACCGTGATTCTGGAAAGATCATTCGCTACAGTGAATTAATCAAAGAGATGGCTTGTGTTTTATTTCAGGGCTTCTTTGTGGGTACCATGAAATTATCACACAGTAGCCAGTGCTGTCTGCTCCTGGGTCTCTGGAATAGTTGGAGCCTTAAAAACCTAGAGACCCATTTTCTCCAAAGAGGTTATCCCCAGAATGTGTGTTGGGCGTGGGGTGCTCTAAAGCTATGAGCAGCAGTACACAGGACATCACTGCCACCAGCAGGACCCAGAGGAAGTGCAGGGATGCTACAGAATGGCTAAGATAGGAGTCTTCAGGTGGGAAGATGAGCTTAAGATACTCTTCCTTTTGTTTGCTTGAGACAGAAGTTCACACTGTACCCCAGACTTGCCTGTCCTGGCAGTAACAACAATCTCACTGCCTCAGTTTTTAAGATCTGGTGATTACAAACCTGAGCCACCATGGCCAGCTAAGCTCAGTAGCCATCCACCCTCTCCCCAGTCTCTGGGATGTGGGGGCTCCTCTCACAGACTGATACTCCTGCCCCAAACTCAGAATGTATCATCTGAAACCCAAATTCCAACCCAGGCTCCAAATACTCCCTTCTCTCCGGCATCACCACCTACCCTACAACACTTATTTCCTCTCTGGGGTTTGCACGGTTGCATAGCATGACAGCAATTTTACAGTTGGACTTATCCGCATCGCATACCACTCCAGACCATGGGAAGTTCATCTTCTATCCTTGTCCCTGGATGCCCAGTCTGGGACTAACTGTATCTGCCTCACATGAAACCGACCCAGCATCCTGCACTGACTTGGTTAAGCAACTTAAGTGCAAACAACCCACAACTTCTGGCCAACTTTGACTCCCAGCCCCCAAACTGTGGTCCCCTGAACTTTGCAGACCTGGGGCGTGGCGGGTGATCTCCCTTTCTGGAGTCTTAGCCTCCAGTGGAGCCAAAGATCACACTTTACAGGGCCCCACACATCCTGAAAGCCAGCTCCTGAGTTCGCAGGAGGGCGAACAGCCAGGGAAGGCATCTCAGTGGGAGTCGGAAGGCTCCCGGGGTCCTTTAGAAAACTAGAGAGAACTGCCCGCAGAGATTCGCTTCCAGCAAGGGTCCCCGACAACGCGGGGAGGACCACGTGAGCATCGTGGCTTAGCTATAAAAACCCCCTGATTCGCACGAGCGTGGGGAGAGAGCGCAGAGGCGAGACACGGCCTCCCACGCCACGAGAGGAAGGACGACCGTGACCCGCCTTCCTCAATACCCGAAGCTCTGATGCTCCAGACCTTCATGGGGTGTCGAGGCGCGCTGAACTTTGGGGACTTGGCAAAGGCGTGCAGACGCCCGCGCGACTGGATTCCCACAAACGCTCAGGGCTGGTTTGACCTTTAGGAGAGTTGGAGGGGGGGATAGCAGGAATCTCGGGCAGATCGATCTCCTGTCTTTCACTGAGCGAGCAGCCAGGAGTTCTGGAGCGTGTCCTCGGAGGAAGCCCGGAGATCCCCGAGCTGTCCCCCAGCCGGCTCATCGACACCGCCCAGCGAGCCGCATTAATTCTGCGCTGCGAGAGAGGCGAGTTCAGACATACTCCTGCCGCCTTCTCCTAAACTTTGACCTGCTCAGGTCGCCCTCAGGGTCCCCGCGGAGGGCACAGGCGGGGACATGGCTACGAGCTCCAAGAGCCGAATGGGCTCTTCCCTTCGCAACCCGGCGCCGCCCGCGTAGCATCCTCTACGCTGACCTCCCGCGCTGCGGCGCCGAACCCTGGGCCAGAGCCAAGGCAGTTCTCAGAGGTGCGGAAAGCGACGGCAACCCCGGAACCCAAGGGTCCGTATGGCCACCGCCCGCGGGCAACTGCTGAGCGCCACGGAGCTTGCGGGCTGTGCCCGGGGCTCCGAGCGGCTCTGAACTGCGGTGCCGGCCGACGTCGCCCTCGCGGGGCCGCGGAGGGTCAGGGACCCGAAGAACAGAGGTGGTGGTGGCAGCTAATCCTCCCCCAGGGCGATGTGGCCAGCCGGCGCCGGCACCAAGCTGCCCTGTCCCCGGGACTCCGCGCTCCGGCGGGCGGCGTTCTCCGGGAACCTTACCGCCCTGCCTTCTCACCTCGTACCCGCCGGCCGCAGCGTCAGAGTCTTCATCAGCGCCAACCCTGAAGGTAAGTCCCTGTTTGTCCGTCTGTTGATCCTTCGATCGGTGCGTGGCCGAAAGTGCGTGGGGCCTCCCATCCGGGTGCACTCTGCTTCCCCTGCGCTCCCTGCCTCCCGCCGCAGCCCGGAGCGCGTGGGAATTTCATTCCAATCACTTATTTTTCTTTAACTCATCCGCTTCCCTGATGACTTCTAGGACACACTTGTCTTCCCAGAATCAATCCAAAACATAGCTGAGGCAGTTAGTAGCCAGTTTCCAGAGGATTCATTCTGCCTTTTCCACCGTAAGCCCTTTCTTCTATCGGTTTCTTCTGATAATTACAAACGGTAGCTGAATGGGAGCTACCTGCTGCCGTATGTTCTCACCCAGGCAGGCATATTTCTTAGAACACAGGTCTTGCAAGTAAAGGTCGGGAGTGGGGGGCGAGTACAGACGGTCTCAGGTCAGAGAGGTGCTCACCCCAGGGCAGAATTGGTCCTGGAACGCTCATATGAGCTCATCTGTGCGGAATCTTGGTCTCCTGGGTGGAGTTCCGGCTCCAGTCAAGCACCTGCTAGGTGCTCCACGGAAACTTGTTGGTTTGGGGCTTTTGTAGTCACCATGACAGAAGCGGTTTTCAGTTCTTAAGGTTAACTTTGGTTCCCAGTGGGTGGTGGGAAAGGGGGGTACTCATTTAACAAACTAGGTAAGACTTTAGAGGGGGGAAAGGGAGTGATCCTAAGAAGAGTTTTATAAGTTTATGTAAGACTGAAGAATTTGCCTCGTTGAACATTCAAAGCTCTGGCTGCTTGTAAAATGCATTCTGGGAAGACAGAAAAAGTAACTTTCTGGAAACAATCGCTTCTAAACGGGAGGGCTGCACTACTAGAAATTTCTGGTAAAGGTTTTGTGGTCACAATGGAATGAGGAAAGAATCGAAGAAATAACATGCCATAATTAATAGGAGCTTTCTGTGCTCGTAGGGAGGGGCGCCTCATGGGAGGGTTCTGTGCTTGCAGGGAGGGGGGCTCACTGTCCTTCCCTGAATTTACAGTTCTCGTTCACAGAACTTAATAAAGGGTGTCTTCGAGAGATCTGGTGACATCAAAATTCATCCCGTACCAAGTATGCCATCCAGGACTTTGACATGAAATTTGAATTAAATAGCCATAAAATGGGGAGCCTCCTTAAAGTTAGGGTTCAGGCAATCTGCAAGTCCCAGCAATAACGTCTGGAAGAATTATATTAGATAATGTTTAGTCTTGTAATTTTCAATTACTCAAGACTTTCCTAAATGCCAGGTGAATTGTTTGCCCTGCTGTGTAGCACACTGCCTTGTCCTTAAAGCAAACTGCTTCTCAAATACCATGAGTGTTCTGTTAATGTTACCAGTGGTTAATTTGTTTCTTGCTCTAACTATGTGTTTTCTGTGATTGCATGATAATGAATTGATGTTGTCAGTTTACTGTGGAAGTTAAAACAAGATTAATCTCATTTTTGTTATACCTTTGACATTTTGTTAAATGTGTGGTGAACGCACATTATTTTCCAAACCCTCCACTTAGTTGCTCTAAAAACTTTAACACACACAAAAGCCCAGGAAAACAAACACAAGGAAGGCCTCAGCTATGTCTCTTGGTCTCTGATTTTGCTGGCTGGCTTCCAGGCTGATCTTAAAGGACCAGAAATGTGAAGATTACTCGTCAAGCAAGCCTTTGAATTTCATCCAGACTGAAGAGCCAAGGGCATATTGAAAATAGACAGAGATGGGCATTTTTAATGCTCTCAGCTTGAAGCCTTACAACTCCGGGAAATGCTCCATCCAAGGCAGCACTTTGCCATGGCATCTTTATGGATTCAATTTAGAAAGCAAATGCTTGCGTTTTGGTACCATCCAATATTAGATTCTTGGACAATCCTGAAGATGAAGAGCCTTTCCACTGTCAAATTAAGACAAAGGACACTCATGTTTCCTTTACAAACAGAAGTCCAATTTGCATCTGAATAAAAGCTGTTTTGTTTTGAAGCCATAGTAGTTGCTTTTGTTTTGTCTTGTTTTGCGAAACCCAACAAGACTCTTGCTGAGGTGATTGTTTTCAATAGATATTGCTTTACAAAACTTGAGTGGAATGGAATTTTCCCAACCACACTAATGGTAACACGTGTCTTCAGAATGGGTAATTAGTTTTCATGCAATTTTGATTTTATCCTCAAATGCTTCTGAGAGTGGTAAGCAAGGGATTCTTTCTATTCTACAGGTGAGACAACTCAGGCTTTATGCAGTGAAGTTACTTTTTTGGATTAATACAGCAGAGTGAAACAGAGAGATCCCATAAGAAACTCACAATACTTATTTTGCTGTTCTTCGACAATCTAGGCAACACACAGATCACTGGAAATGTCTCATGTTTATATGACCAAATATGGTGGGAAAGTGCTGTCCAGACTCTTCTGGCTCCAACAACTAAAAGGGAACACAATTGCCCCAACCCACTTGGTCCCACTGGGAGGCAGTTATAGGACATACAAGAGAATCTTACAGCATACTGAACTTCTTCAAAAGTCTATCCATGTCTGACTTGTTGTCACTACATGGATGATTTTGTACACTTGTCAGGGAGGCAATCACATTATTCCAGACTTACATGAATGGTTGAACTTTGTCTAGTCTCACTCCCATGCAATGATGTCATCTTTCTTAGTCCTTGGAAGTTTTCTAGTCATATAACTACTCTCTCTCTTTGCTAAGACAATTTTTTTATACTGCTTTGGAAATAAATGCTTTCAAAACATGTACAACAATGAAAAGGAAAGGGGAGGAGAGGAGAAATGGGGAGGGAAGGGGAGAGGAAGGGAGGGAAGGAAGGAAGGAAGGAAGGAAGGAAAGGAAAGGAAAGGAAAGGAAAGGAAGGGAAGGGAAGGGAAAGGAAAGGAAAGGAAAGGAAAGGAAAGGAAAGGAAAGGAAAGGGTCCTGCACAGGTCTCCCAGTTATTGTGCTGGAAGGACTTTCAAATCCCATGCATCCATTCTGAACTAGATCAGAGTAAAGTAAGTAACATCTTCATTCAGACAAAAGAAATGATGTTGCCTTTGTTTTTGACAAAGAATGATGCTAGCTCATAGTCCTTTCACCTATGATCTCCAGGATTAAATGTGAGTTGGTAATTTCTCCTGTCTTTGGGGGAGGAAATGAGAATTTCCAATTAATTATGTGGGCTCTGAACTAACAGCCATGCCATATATGTGTCTATAAGTATACATGCTTTCACTTAATGTTGTGCAGAGCTGTCCTAAATGCCAGAAATGTCTGTTTGCTCTGACAGCATTAGTCATGGACGATGGTTGAGTCTAAATAGTGTGAGTAAAATTCTGAATTTTATTCATTTTAATAAATGTAATGATATAAACATGCATATGACTTTACATACACACGTGGCTACTGGCTCAAAGCTCTAAGTCAGTATTTCTCAACCTGTGAATCACAACCCCTCTGGGGTCACATGTCAGATATCCTGAATATCGAGTATTTATGTTATTTTTCAAAACAGTACCAAAATTAGTTATTGAGGAGTAATGAGATAATTTTATGATTGGGGGTCACCACAGCATGAGGAACTGTACTAAAGGTCTCAGCATTAGTGAGGTTGAGAACCACTGCTCTAAGTAGACAAAGACAATAAGTAGCTTCATGTCAAATAAAGTCCCAGTACTGACAGGGGTTATTTTGGATTATGCAATCACTCAAACTGGGGGCACTCTACTATTCACTAGGGTTTGTGAATTTTGATACTGCAGCTAAGAGATACAGACTTTATTGGAGAATACAGTTTAAACTACGAAAATTGAGTTTCTCAAAATCAAATCCACAACTACATGGAGCTCTCAACTCCTAGACAAGGAGCAAATAATTGTGCCTCTTGCCAGGGACAGTTGACATATTTCAAATCTAAAACATGAGTGAGAACAGGGGTTACAGCTGTCCTGGAAATATTAAAAGAAGTGTCTGGGCTCCCGTGTTTACATTTTCCTTCCAAATGCAGCTTTCCAGTGGGGCAGAATCACTTATTATATATCCAGGGCTGCTATACTAGTCTGGAAAGAAACCTGGAATAAAGAAGAAATAGCCAACATTCGTTCCTGTCCACTTCCACTTAGATTGTCAAAGTGGCCATCTTTGAGTGTTATATACTCATGCCTAGCTTTGATGACCAAATATTCAGATCATTCCCATTGATTTTTCTTCAGTCAGTATGATTTTTTTTAGCTTCCCAGACTCTTCTTCAGACCTTAAGACTCTCAGTTGGAAATCTTATTCTCCATTTTGATGGAGGCACAGAAAAGATGACTTCTCACCTCGTGTCTACACAGGCTCAAAGTCCACAACCACTGGTTACCTTCTTTAGTTTGCAGTTCTGCCCCAAAGAAAGAAAGAAAGAAAGATCTGCATCAGGATTCAAATGAGATCTGCGAGAATTCTTCATTACTCTTATTCTTACATTTCTGTCATCCTAAGCTCTCATGGCTCCCTCCCCCCTTTTTTTTTACTGTCTTTATGTATTGTCAATAAGAAAACTGTAGCAGAACACAAATGGACACTTGTGCATCTATACAGATACAGACATCTTGATATACCCTAAGAATGTATATAACATACACAGGGCATTCATAATACACAAACACCAAAAGTCTACTGATTGTGTCTCCTTGATCCTTAAGGAGACTTTGTTGGGGAAAAGGGGAGTATTAGTGACCAATAGACTTAGGCTTATGAACCATGCTTTCTGGGTTTGAATTCTTAATCTTCTATGTAATGAATTATTTCTGAGCAAGTTCTTTAACTTTTTTGTTCTCTGTTTCCTGTCTCATGAGGTAAGATAACAGCAGTAGCTGTGAGGGGTTAGAGAGCAGGGTAAATAAACGAATACACACAAAGCACTTACACAAACACTGGGCACACAGGAAAAAAATAACACACATTCACTATGTTTTCATTGTGTTATTTTCCAGTGACATTCAGGCACTCTGTAG